TTGGATCGAATAAAATTTACCGAAATAATCAATAAACGGGATGAAAACCATAAAATTCACCGCAGGGCTAGCAATATTATTAACAATATTCATAAATTATTTTTAGAGGTGAAGAGCGTCACAAAATTGGCTGAGCCGGGAGAATTTCCTTTCATCGCAATCGTTACTGCTAATGATGGTTCCAACACCCTCGGGGTCCTGATCAGTGCTAACGAAGTTATGGCAATTACCGTACATTTACCCGTCCCTCCTAAAACAATGACAATCCAATTCGGATGCATATTTATGAATAATTGCACTACTGAAAAATTCTCAGTTAAGCACCTTCAAATGGACAGGCGACTGAACATCTTCAGAATCACGGTAATCTACTTAAAGATCTCTGATAAGAGATAAGAATAATTAGGCGATATGCGTAAACATTATAATTTTCAATCTCGATATTGACCAATGAGAAATACTCCTTGTTTATGTTTATGACATACGGGAACACAGTCCTTCCTCAAATTTCAACAGAATATTTATATAACGCGTATATTGTTAATTTTTTGGTGCTACTACATGAATTTCTATTTCGTTTTTCAACAATAGATATATAAGAATCGGAATTCAATTTTTTTTTTTAATATAATAAATATATATAAAGAATAATAATAATTATTATATATATATAATTATACATAATGGATTTTTTTAAGGGATCTAGGCAAGTGATAAGTCACATGAAATATTTTTTAATATGATAAGATCAATATTGTGATTATAATCCAGACGAAATAGACCGATGACAGATTTCTATTGATTTCGCTTTTTTCCTCAAGAATTCTCTCATTTTCATTTTTTTCTTTTTTTCAGCTTTTACATAAGATTCGTCATATTGCGCCACTGCCAACCGGTTCATTACAGAGTTATGATGGTTACTCGTGTAAATTCGTGGGATCAGACGTGTATTCTCGGAGACTATTTTCGCTGGATGTGATAACTATTAATAAAGGCGATTGTCGAAGAGTAGGAATGGGTATTTTTGACGACCAGCAATGTTTTGAAGATCCATCCTTGTCTCACAAGTTCACCGGGGTACGGATTTATTAATACGAATAAATTACTTCCAATAATTAATTGCATTTTACTGAGAGAATTTTATGTTTTTTTCTCACGACAGGGAAACCATGGCGGTCCAGTGATTTGTGATGGATTTCTGGTTGGACTACAGGCCGAAAATTCTAAGGTCAATGAGAATATACAGATCATGCATGATTTAACTAAGCCACGGCTGTACCA